TCGCATTTCTAAGTGTGGCCCTTAAATTACTAAATAATTTTTGTGGCTTGAAGCATATACTTTATGTGCCTTAAGGCAGGGACGAGCCTGGATCCACGCATTTGCTTTTCTAATATTTTAGTAAAAATTCTTCAGACTAACTTTTAAAGTTGATAAAATGACAAACATAGCTTAACATATTGATCGTCTTACTAGACTAAATTTATAAAATTGATCATATATCATTTTGTCCAAATAGTGAATATTATTACGAGAATGTCATTCTAATTAAAAATATATATCAAAATAAACATATCTATATATACACTAAAAATCATATACATATGTATATACACATATATAGGAAATTAAAATAAGAATTACAAATTAAAAATTATACATATTAGTTTTATCCCAAAAAACATAAATTACGGTTTAAAAAAAAAGCAAACCCTAATTTAGAAACAGGTGATTCGGCGACGAGGGAGGCGATTCAGCGACGGCTGTTCAGGTTACATGATTTCGGCGGCGACGAAAGGTTTTCCGGCCACTCCTCTGGTAAGTGTTTCAGATCTGGCTTCATTATCCATTTCCTCGTCTCGAACAAGTTTATTTCAAGGGCTTTTGGGGTTAGGTTGAAAACGGTTTTTGCGTTTCTGTTGCGGTGGTGGTGTTAGAGTTTATTACCGCATGTTCCGGTTTCAACGGTGGTGTCGCGCTAACACCGGAAATGAAATCCATCTTTTCTTTTATTTTACTCTGAAATCGTAACCCTTTTCTTATTTTTTGCAGGGAAGTATTGTTATCGGTGGTTTCCGTCTTTCGAGAACGGTTTCTGGAGAGAGAGTACACGATTTCCGGTGAGTAATATATGTTCGTAATGGTTAGGTTCAAAATTGTGTTTGGTAGACTTTAAGTAGTTGTTGAAAATGCTAGATTTGTATATGTTAAACGGTAGATTTGTTCGTGTTTAACAGAGTTGTTTTCTATGTTAGGTAGATTTGTTTTCATCTCATGGTGTGGTTTGAATAATCGTACTACTTTTGGTAGAGTTGTTGTTGATATGGTAGATTTGTGTTTAGTAGATTTATGTATTTATTTGGTAGACTTGGTCGGAGCATTAGGGAAATGAAAGATGAGATAAGTCAGCTTCAAGGAGACTTTGTTTGGATGACGGAGCAAAACGCCAGAGTTGACCACTACTTGATGCTAGCATTGCTGTTCGTGTTTGCAGCCATTGCGTATATGTTAAGTACAAGTCAGTTTCCTTATGTTTAGTACTAAGGAATGTTGAAGTACAAAGTAATGTTCCCTTAAGTTGGATGGTAGACTTGTATTATATTGTTGGTAGATTTGTTTCAATTAATATTTGTCGAGTGGTAGACTTATTTATCAAATGATAGTTCTAATAGACTTGTCAGATTTCTTTCAATTATAATCGAACGAATGGTAGAGTTTTTACTTATTGTAATAGTTGTTGTGGAGTACAGGTAGACTTGACAAATAGAGTCTACATCATTGAATATGAATCAAATACGATAACACATAAGTCTACTTAACACAACATAAATAGTAATTTAACATAAGTTTACTTCACAATCAAAACAAATCTACTTAAGTAAACATAAGTCTATCATAAGATAATTAAACATGAAATTACAACTATTGATGCAATCAATGAGGCCATTCCATAGAAAATGACGGTATTGTTCCCCAGAAATTGGCACTCTCGAATTTCCAGAAGTAGGATTCGCAAAGTTGATCCCCATACGTATCAATCAGGTACTGATCTCCCATCCAACGCATGTCTGGTAACTTGAGACAAGCACAATTCCTTGTACTTGAAGATTTTAGATAAACCTGGAAAACCATTTCCACCAGTTCCTTGGGCTTCTCGAATTTGAACGGACGCATGTAGGTGTCTTGCATAGTCAATCTCATTTTGGTTGCATCTTCCCGGGAAAGACCTTTAACGGAGTTGAATATCTCTGATGTGCCATCCATCGTTAGATGTAACATAGTGTGGCAGTACTTACCCATGAGAGATCCACAGTTTGATGTCATCTTAATGAAATCCAACCCTGTTTGGAGGCTATCTTCGAAAAAAATCAGAGATAAACCTCTTCGCAATTGTGCGGTTGGATTTCCTGCCTCCAAGCACCGTGTGAAGAATGCACCCACCCTTCCATGTTGATCCCACCTCCATGGCGTGATAAAAGTTATCAAATCAACATTCCTAAGAAAACCCGTTTCGCTAGAGATGTTGTTAAGTGTTTTCGACGAAACTTTTGCGAGACAAAGATCCGCATACGAGTTTGAAGAGATTTTTAACAGAATCTCGTACAAAAGGATCAGAAGGGAGCGAGTTGATGTTTAAATGATTGGCCATAGGAAATCCGGGATGGAAAATGAAACTTCTCGGGTGTGTGTTGTATTTATAGAGAACTTGCAGTGATTTAAATCAATGCAATGGTCGGAGATAACCACATAACCGTTACCAAAAGTCTGCCATAAGGACAGACCTAAAAATACGTACAACACTGCAAACATAAGTCTACCAAACCACCAGTTTTTTCGTAGATTGGAGAATACATTTAGGACAAAAAAGTAATTTCGAACCAAAAACTCAAATGTCTGCCTAACACTAACTACTACGTCTACCTCAAATATGGTAAATAACTCTACCATAGAAACAAGTCTACCATTAAGCACCACATATGTCTACCAGATCGAGGTTATCTAGGTAAATACCAAATTTAATTAATCTACCACATGATGCTAACTAGAAGTCTACCATACTTACAATAACTCTACCAATTTATCTAAACTCTACCAAACAAACAAACAAATCTACCAACATTTTATAAGTCTACCTAATGTAACAGATAATCTACCACTTAACGGCATGAATTTTACTTGAAATTAAATCTACCACAAAACAAACAAATCTACCACAAAAGTGATAAATCTACCAACTAGATATAACTCTACCAATTTCAAACATAATCTACGATAAAAGGAATAAGTCTACCGTCGCGTTATGAAAAATCTTGTCACATAAATCTACCACCAAATGAAATAAGTCTACCAACTCAGGAATTAAATTTACCCCATTGTCAACAAATCTACCGACAAAGTCAACTATACGAGTAAGTCAACGATTTCCTTAACAAGTCTACCAACACATTTGATAAGTGTGTCATACATAACAACAAAACTACCGAAACTTAATAAATCTATCTCTCATTGTCCAAACTCTACCAAGAAAAGTCTACCAATATTTTACAAATCTACCAACTTTCGAATAAATCTACCATCGTCCTAATAACTTTACCATCCAAATTGCGTTGACCAAAATTTGTTAAGTCTATCGCCAAAGCCTGATAGACTTATCATTTTTTCTGCCTACATGACATTAAAAAAGTAATAGAAGTTTCGTAATTAGATTTTTCTCAACAAAAACGAAAAAAGTGTTTGGATATGCTACACTAGTTTTGTAAAAAATATAAAAATATATCAAACAAGCAATAAAGATACTTTCTAAATTTAGTACAGTAATCCTCTCAATATTTTATCTAAAAGCATGAATTATCAACTGTGAGACCATTAATAAGCAAGAACTAAAAGAAGAACCTCTCAAGGAACTGGATAAAAAGCAACGAATAAGAATACCATAAAGTCCACAAGATGATGATGAAGAAATGTCAGCAGCTGAATTAAAAAAATATATATAGGGGAAGGAGATTGTGGTTTTTATGTGTATAATGAGAAAAAGATGGCCTGATTTATAGCCCGACACCTCAACGTATCTCAACGTAAAAGCAATAAAGGCAGATTTGAGAATTCAATTTCTTCATAACTAATTTAATGTTAATTAAGATTTTCATGTTACAAAATCAATTGCAATTGACTTTGCCCTTAATTGCCACTTAACTCACGTTAAGACATCAATTAGAGGAGGAGATATTTGTTGACTTAATCAACAACATATTCAAAAAAAAAAGTGGACAAACAAAAATTATTTTTATTTGCCAAATCATGAACCCAAAATTTGGTTCGGATATCTCCTGGCTTTTCTAATACACCAAAGTGTACCCAAGATTTTTTTTTTAAAAAAAGTTCATTTTATGTACAAAATGAATTTCTTGATGAGTAATTAATATTTTTTGCGGTCTAGGAGAAACGAATTTCTTTTATATTGGAATATTATTCGCTTCATAAATTTCATTAAGAAGAAGCTACGTAGAAGAGTTCCAATTTCACTACATTGTTTTTTTTATGTTTATAGCTTGTGATACTTTACCAATGTTACATTTTAAGTTTTACAAGCAATCCATTTTAAAATTTCATTTCATTCAAAAGAATATTGTTTCTGACGTACAAATACAATCATTCACGACAAATTATCCAATGACTTTAAACTTGTTCATTCCAATTTATAAGTTATTCGGAAAAGCCACCGGAATATGGTTTAAAATTATTTTGTTACAAAACAAGTTCCAACATTAATACCTATGATCCCTTCAGAATCTACACAAGACATAGAAACGTTAAGAAACTGATTAATCATGTAATTTAGATGTTACCGTACCTCATGAAAGCAGGGTACAAAATCGATGTCTTTAAAAGTAGGTGAATTCCTCTTGAAAAGAATAGTTGTATTTAGTTGGCTATATAAAGCTGATGGTGTTACACAATATGAGGGATAAACGAAGATATTAACAGAGATATTCACAAAGATATTCTCAACAAAACTATAAGAATATTCCTATATTCTATCACCCTCCCTCAGTTGAAGCGTCGGCTTGCCGGAGGGTTAAACTAGTACGAAAATGTCTGCATATTGCAAAGTAGGTAACCCTTTAGTGAATATGTCTGCATATTGCAAAGAAGATGGAACGTATATCACCTTGACTTCGCCTATTGACACTTTCTCTCTTACAGAATGAATATCCAGCTCTATGTGGTTTGTTCTTTGATGCTTGACAGGATTTGTACCTAGATAGATGGAGCTAATGTTGTCACGGTAAACAACATACGCCTTGGTGTGGAAAGTGAAGCTCGAGCATCAAATTTCTTATCCAACAGAGCTCTGCAACCGTGTTTTCCACTCCTTTGCACTCTGCTTCTGAGCTTGATCTAGAAACGGTCTGTTGCCTCTTTACTGACCATGAGATGATGTTTTGGCCAAGGAAGACATAGTAGCCTGAAGTTGATCTTCTGGTGTCGAGAAAGCCTGTCCAATCAGCGTCTGAGTAAACTGTAAAACTGGTCAAGGATCCTTTTACCAGCTGTATTCTGTGGTGTAAAGTGCTTTTGATGTATCTGATAATTCGCTTGAGAGCTTGGACAAGTGGTTTTTTGGGATCATGCATATACAAGCAGACTTGATGAATGGCATAAGAAATATCGGTTCTGGTGAAGGTTAAAAAATGCAATGCTCCTGCCAAGCTTTTATATTCAGTTGCATCAGTGACTGGCTCTCCTGAGTTTACTGATAGTTTGGATTTGAGATCAACCGGTGTTGCACACGACTTACATGCCTGCATTCCAGCTCGAGTTAGGATCTCAGATAAATAAGTAGCTTGACTTAACAACGGTCCTTGCTCATTGTAAGAAGCTTTCATCCCAAGAAAATGGTGTATTTTCCCCAAATCTGTCATCGGAAACTCAGTCTTTAGAGACTCAATTATCAGTCCCAGCACTTTTGGTGAGGACGCTGCTAAAACGATGTCGTCGATGTAGAGTAAAATGTATGCGAGATCAGCCCCTTTCCTGTAGACAAACAGAGAGGCATCGCTTTGCTAGTAACTAATCCAATGTTAGTTATGAACTTTGCAAAACGTAATTTCCAAGCTCTCGGAGCTTGTTTTAAGCCATATGTGGCTTTTCGGAGCTTACATACATGATTCGGATAATTGTTGTCGACAAAACCTAGTGGCTGAAACATATACACTGTTTCCTCTAGATATCCTTGCAGGAAGGCATTTTTGACATCAATTTGATGTATCGGTCAATGTTAAGAACCATGCGTATCGTTGCAGGTTACACCACAAGAGAAAACGTCTCTGTGAAGTCAAAGCATGCTTCCTGAGACTTGCCATTTGCAACCAGTCTTGCTTTATGTCTTGTTAGTGCACCATCTGCATCATGTTTATGTTTGAAAAGCCACATAGATCTCACAATATTAACCCCTGGAGGGCTAGGTACTAGTCTTAATCATAGCACCATAATCATCAGTCATCGCTGGATTTCAATTTGGATTCAGATAGAGCTTTTTGTGACTTTTTGGAAGAGGAGATTTGGTGGTGGTGATGAGTGAGAAAATTTGTTTTAATTTTCTAATCCCAGATTTTGCTCTTGTCGTCATTGTGTGACGAGTTTGAGCTGGTGGAGGCTGATGAGTTTGGTGCTGCACTGGAATTGGTAGTAGTGCAGGGATATTTAAGGTGTGACAGGATCTGAAAAAGGGGTTTGAAGTATCGATGTGAACATAAGGGAAGAGTCATCGATACTTGCTAAAAAATGATAAGCTTTGTCACTTTTTACTGGTGTAATTTCAGCTGGAAATTTTTTTCTCATCAAAATAAAAATGTCTTGAAATAATGATTTTGTTGGTCTTTAAATCAAGACATCGATGGCCCCTATGTTGTGATGGGTATCCAAGGAATAAACAAGGAGTGGTTCTTGGTGAGAGTTTATGAATGTGAAAGTGGTTTAAGTTTTGAAAACATAGACAACCAAAGACCCACAAATTCTCATAAAGAGGACGTTTTATGAAGAGAAGAGTGAATGGGGTTTGATTCTTAACAGCAGAAGAAGGAAGAATGTTTAAAACATGGACAGGGACATGGAGAGCCTCAACCTAGTAGCTTGGAGAAAGCTGGGCTTGGAACAAAAGAGTTCGAATGGTGTTGGTTATTGTTTGTATCATACTACTTCCCATTTTGTTGAGAAGTGTGAGGACATGAGAATCGAACTTTTATTCCATTAGCATCGAAGAAATTTTGAAATTGAACATTTTTGTATCCTCCTCCATTGTCGCATTGGAAATACTTTATTTGAGCATTGAGTTGATTTTTGATATAGCTGAAAAGTGAAGAAATTTAGAAAAAAACTTCTGATTTTCTTCGAAGAGGATAAACCCAAAGGAAGTGAGCGAAATGATCAAGAAAGAGAACATAGTATCTGATCCCACTCATGTTTCCAAACATCAGAATGCACAATTTCAAAAGGTTTTGTGATTTCTGAATTTGAAGCATAAAATAGAAGTTTTATTTGTTTTCCCAAAAGACAAGTTGGACAAGAACTAGGAAATTTTTCCTTAGTACATGAATTGGAATTTGAAGACAAAATAGAACAAAAAGCAGCTTCATTTGTGTGGCTAATTCTTTTGTGCCAAAGTGTTGGACAAGAGGCCAAAAGAGCTGTTGAAGATGCCGATGTCGGCTTATTAAAGCAAGCAGGAAGAGGATAGAGATCTACGGAGCTACCACATCGGAGCAGCACTTTCTGAGTTGGAAGATCCTTCACAGAGAAACCAAATGGATCAAATTCAACACTACACCAATTGTCTTTTGTAAATTTACGAACAGAGAATAAGTTTTTGACAATATGCAGAGCAACAAGGACATTATTTAGAGAAAGTGGACGAGAATTGGTTCGAAGGAAAGATGAATCAATAGAAGTGACCGGAAGTTTGGAACCATTACCCATGACTGAGTGACTGATGTTATGACTAAGAGAAGAATTAATAGTACATGCAGTAGCTGAGAGATGAGCCGTAGATCCAGAATCTATGTACCCAATTTGAAGCACTTGGGTCAGGTAATGTCTCGCCGCTGTTAATGTACTGTTCTGTCGGTTGAATTTCTGTCAGATGTGCCTGATGTGGTGATGGAGTGGGTAGACGAGGAGCAAGAGTTTGACACATGTTCATCGGAGAAAAGGATTCCAAGGTGGGGAATTGATTGGGCCAAACGTGTGGTGAAGCCCAGGTGTGGAAATTGGGCCGAAACTGGAAATGGTTCCTGTCCCGATATCAAAAATTGTGGCGCTTGTTGCCTCTGTAATTGTTGAACTTCTGTGTTTGATGTGGTCGATTTTGCGATGGAGTTGTTTTTGCCGATTCACTAGAGACGGTGAGGGTTGTTGAAGAGGATGAATGATCAGTATGATGAGGGACTGGCTTGTGTGATTTCTTCAGTTTTTATTCTTTATCTTGAAGCATCGATTTTGCATCATCAAAAGATGGGAACGGTTTCTGATGTTTGATGACATTAATGATGTTGTCAAAATTCTCATTGAGACCATTCAACATGTACATCACCAAATTTCTTTCATTCACTGGTAGTTTAGAAAGCAAATCAGCAACGGATTTTAGCTTTTGGCAGTACTCCCGAATCGACAGATCTCCAATCTCCAAGGTATGCATCTCGTTGTCAATTTGCATAGCTCTGGCTACCTTATTGTTCGAAATTGATTTTCAATGCGCAGCCAGATGTCTCTAGCGGTGCCACCAGTTTTGAAAGATGATTTGAACAGTAGAGGTGCAAGGGTGCTATAGATCCATAGTTTGACAAGACCATCGCGTTTAATCCAAGGCTGATTGTTGTCACCATCTGGAGTAGAGGAGGTACCATCGACATGTTCTAACACATCAAATGTGTGGCAATGCGTTAGAAACAACTCTCTCCAAGCATTGTAGTTGTGATCATCTGTGTCTAAGATGAGAGGGATGTGTGATTTGATATTGGTCACACTATAGGCTATTTCCATCGCAGGAGGTGGAGCAGCCATTGGAAAGGAGCAAAGAAAAATGAAGAAAATGGTAACAGAAGAATGAAAAAGAGAATGAAAAGAGAAGAAAAAGAGAAAAAATGAAGACAAAAATATCAAAAAGAGTGTAGCTCTGATACCATGAAAATAGTGAATTCTTCTTGAAGAGGATAGTTGTATTTAGTTGGCTATATAAAGCTGATGCTGTTACACAATATCAGAGATACACAAAGATATTAACAGAGATATTGACAAAAATATTCTCAACAAAACTAGAAGAATATTCATATATTCTATCAGTTTTTTTTGTCACCTTTCACATGTGAACAAGTCGTTGGAATAGCGCAAAACCGAAGAACAAAAAGAAGCGTAGCTCCATGCTTCACAAGCTCTAGTGCCTTCTCAGAATCCATCACTTCCTTCTTCTTCTTCCTCTTCCTTTTCTTTTCTCTTCTTCTTCCTTTTCTTTTCTCTTTTTCTTTAGTGATTGAAGAGAGCAGGAAGACGAGTAGATTCTAAAAGAGCAACACTTTTCATAAGCCCATTAATCTGGCCATTTACTAATTGGGCTTTTCGTTCGTGGCCCAGTAAATCAAGCGACGTTTCGGATGGAAACGCGTTATTCACGCGGTTTACTTTTCAACCGACATAACCTTATATATATACGAATCTTTATGCCTTTTCACATAAGCTAATTTCTCTTTTCTCAAATCGTTCAATTTCCTAAATTTCTCTCATCTCTCTCGCTACTATACACGAAATCCAGTTTCTAGCGTTTTCTTCATTGTTCGTTTGATTTCTCAGAGAAAAACAATACGTTGTTGAATCGAGAAGATGTCGTCATCCACCGGATTCTTCCCGCATCAGAGGAATGCACACCGGAACGCAAACGCTGGGACGACGTTGAAGAGACGAATCGACAATCGCGGTTGCGGCGGCTCTGCCAGCGGAGTTTTCCAGGAGGATCGGATCCATTACGCACCGCCGCCTCAGAAACGCACCAGATTCCAACCGCAAACGCAATCCCAATCCAGGATTCCTCTGTATCGTGATGGTAGTAACTTGTCTAGGGTTTCAAATTACGGTGATGTGATTCGTTCTAATTCAAGCAATAGCTTTCCTCTTACTTTACGTAATAATGATTCTTCTTCGCAATCTAACACCGATTATCAGAAACCTTTTGGTTGTGGAAACCCTAACTCTAATTCCCAATCTGTTCCGCGTCCTTTACCTTATCGTAAGCTAGATGATTTCGATTCGTTACCCGAATGGGTTCCAAACCGGTTGAATTTTCCAATTAAATCTCCGAATTTCGTACCGGACGTAACTGGAGTTCGGTTTAACGCTCAAGCACCTGTGTTTACGAATGTTTCAAATTCAACGCCTTTGAATCACTCGAACATGGTTTCAATTGTGACACAAGCAATGCCTCAACAACCAATTTTGAGCAAAGACTTGTCTGATTTACTTACCCTTTTGAATAACGAGAAAGAGAATCAAAACAAAGAATCTCCTCTTGGTCTCGATTTCGGTTCAGTGAACCTTAATGTTCGTAACGAATGTGTGATTAAGTCTCTGTATTCCGATATGCCGAGGCAATGTTCTTCGTGTGGGGTTAGATTCAAACGTCAAGAAGATCATAGCAATCACATGGACTGGCACGTGAGGAAGAACAGGATGGCCAAAGGCGCGACCAAAACCGGTACGAGGTCGAGCAAGAACCCGAAGAAATCGCAGGTTTTGTTTGCGAGCTTGTCTCTATGGCTCCTTGCAGCTACAGGAGGGACGATCGAAACCCTGAATAGGGGAGAAGAAGAGGGAAATTCACAGCAGATGGAGCAACATACCGTGCCTGCTGATGAAAACCAGAAGCTTTGTGCGTTATGCGTTGAGCCGTTTGAAGAGTTCTTTAGCCATGAAGAAGATGAGTGGTTGTACAAGGATGCTGTTTACTTGAACGTGAAGGAGTTGGGTCCTATAGTTCATGTTAAGTGTATGCCTGAAACCCGAGAAGGGTCTGGAAGGGATTCGAGAGAGACGATGTTGAGGCCTGTTACGGTTCCATCGGTTGCGAGTGCATTGGTCTGCTGATTGAGTTTAACATAGGCTAAGAGTGTTCAGAGATTTGATTCAGTTTTTCTCTTTTTCTTTTTTCTGCTAGTGATTTGATTCAGTTATTCCTATGTTTTTACTAATGTACTTGAATAAATCTCAGTAATAAAAACGTATTAAGTATATCTACATGAAGAAGGGTTAGTTTTGTGGCTTTTGTCATTTGAGTTGCACAGTAAAAAATAAGGATGCTTTGTTTGACCATTAACATACAATCACGAGTATATCCTTCGCCTCTTATTCTCTTAACAATCTCCAAATTTCTTTCTAATTGATCGTACACTTTTATGCTTACCAAAATTTTATTTAATTAATTATGCGTAATTATATTACTTTAACACTTCTACTTATGCCTAAAATATATTTAAATGTGAAAGTTTGCTTTATTGACCCAAAACATCAGAGAAAAAATAAAATCGAAGAAGAAAAAGTATATACCAAAAACCTAATACTTATCCAACCGTGAAAGAAATCGAATAGGCCTAGTTCCCTTGGAACTAGGGTTTAGAAATAAGATCTTTATAAAAAGTGAACAATGTATAGGAAAAAGGATAAGAGATTAGCAATAACCAAAATTTTAACCGCAACTATATATAGTTAGAGATTCACAGTGTTTTGATCAATGTTCAAAAAATCGCTAGGCGGTAGCTAGGCGGGTGATAGGAGACTAGCGCCTAGGCAGATTAGTCGGAGACAAGGCGGAGCCTAGGCGTTAGCAAAAATTTTGTTAATTTTTATAAATTTTCTATCTATATATCATATTTTAAAAATAATTTTAATTGTTTTCTTAAAAATTATTTTATCAAATTTATGTTTGAATAAAAAAGTAAGAAAAATTAATAAATAAAATTATAGAATAAATTTCAACAAAGAAATCAAACTAAAAATCATCAAATTCTTCAAATTAAAATAAGTTTTAATTTAAAAACTTTAAAAATGTAAAGCAAAGAGAAATATATCTAACTTATTCTTCAAATACATCCATATCCACCACCTGCTCATTTGCAGACTCAAATTCAAAATCTATAGCTATATCATTTTCATCGTCGGAATCGATATCTCCTCTAGGCTCATCGTTAAAATTGAAAGTTGAAACTTGAAACAGAGCACAAACAAAGTACACAAAGATGAAAAGATAAATTAAGAGAATAGAACATAGTTATATAATATATACAGATAGATAAAGAGAAGATTAAACAAACTTGTAGAGTTCAGCAATAGAGAATAATGATCGCCTCTTGTAGTTTATGAAGGTGAAGTAGTGGGGAGGAACGATGATGATTATATTAAGTTATTAACCCTAATCCACGTTTCAAATCTTTTTTTTTCTCTTTTCTGTAAACCATGTTGGTTTACTATCCAAAACCATAAAAATTGACTGAAAAAAGGATAAAAATAATTACTCTGATTTGGCCGATTTTACCGAATTTGGTCCGATTTTTCCGATTTTGTACGATTTGATTCGATTTTTTACTAAACCGGATTTACTTTACTGATTTTATGAAAATCGGGTCGGCTAACCCCAACTAGCCGCCTAGGCGGCCGCATAGTCGCAGACTAGGCCGATTTTTTGAACACTGCCTGAAACTGCTAGGAAGGTATGCAAGCTTCATCGTTCCATTTATGGTTTGAAGCAAGCATCTCGGAGTTGGAATCTTCGTTTTAATGAGGCAATCAAAGAGTTTGATTTCATTAGAAATGAAGAAGAACCTTGTGTTTACAAGAAGACTAGTGGGAGCGCAGTTGCTTTTCTGGTATTGTACGTAGATAACATACTGCTCATTGGGAATGATATTCCTCTACTTCAGTCTGTTAAGACATGACTAAGTAGTTGTTTCTCAATGAAAGACATGGGAGAAGCTTCCTATATTCTTGGAATAAGAATCTATAGAGATAGATTGAATAAATTAATTGGACTAAGTCAAGATACTTATATAGATAAGGTCTTGCGCAGATTCAATATGCATGATTCTAAGAAAGGTTTTCTACCAATGTCTCATGGCATAACTCTCAGCAAGACTCAGTGTCCTTCGACACATGATGAGCGAGTGCGCATGAGTACGATTCCATATGCATCTGCTATAAGATCTATCATGTATGTTATGCTCTGCACTCGCCCAGATGTTGCATGTGCTTTGAGCATGACGAGCAGATACCAATCTGATCCAGGTGAAAGTCACTGGATAGCAGTCAAGAATATCCTTAAGTACTTGAGAAGAACTTAGGATAAGTTTTTGATCTATGGAGGAAGTGAGGAACTTGTTTTGAGTGGTTACACAGATGCCAGCTTTCAGACAGACAAAGGTGATTTCCGATCTCAATCTGGATTTGTCTTTTGTCTGAATGGAGGAGCAGTGAGTTGGAAGAGTTCTAAGCAGAGCACTGTGGCAGACTCTACAACTGAGGCTGAGTACATTGCTGCTTCAGAAGCAGCTAAGGAGACTGTTTGGATTAGGAGGTTCATTACTGAGCTTGGTGTGGTTCCTAGCATCTCTAACCCTGTTGATCTATATTGTGATAACAATGGAGCCATCGCACAGGCAAAGGAACCTAGATCACACCAGAAATCCAAACATATACAAAGGCGATATCATCTCATTCGAGAGATTATTGACAGAGGCGATGTGAAGATTAACAGAGTTCCAACGGATGCAAATGTTGCTGATCCTTTTACGAAACCCCTTCCGCAGCCTAAGCATGAGAGTCATACTGCTGCGATAGGCATTAGATTCATAAAGATGTAATCTTATTTTCAGTGGGAGGTTTTAATTTCTTTTATGATATGATGCTCATGTTTACATACATTTGATTTTATTTTCAAATTAATGAAATTTGTTTCAGTATAATTTTGTTATTGGATAATTAAATAATAGTCCCAAAATAATTTATGTCATTCTTATAGATCATCAAGTATGTGACTTGATCATGAAACTCTATAAGTGGAAGATGATTTAGATTATTGAAGTCCCTAGTCAAGGTTATTAAAATGGGACGTTAATAACTAAGAATGACTAGTATGTGAGGTGACTGATGACTAAGTTTCGTGAAGTCATTGATATGCAGTATTAAAGTCAATCACATAGATATGTGTTAGAGAACACATGATTGGACTGACCCGCTATGAGAACTCTACAAGATTGTTATATGAGTGTCATAAGAGTTTCTCATGACAACTATAGAGTATAGTCCTTTGACCTGAGTTCGTCATGATTTCTTGTACATGGATTAGTTTGCTTTGACTTTGTCAAACGTCAGCCGTAAAAGGTGATTATAAAGACAGTGATCGGGCACATTATGAATTGTGTAAGGAACAGGGATGGAACAAGATGGGATTTGTCCCTCCTATATAACGGGAGATAAATATCTCTGGGCCTATCGAAGATTTTATACTGAGAAATGCGTGGCCGCGCTCAAACGAGGTGAATGTCACTCGTTTGTTTAATCAGTACAAATCAGAGTTCGATAAACATGATCTAGCTTGATAAAGATGACACTGTTTCTTGCTTTATGCTAAGATCGAGATATAAAGACAAAAGGATTATAGGAATAGATGATTCCAGTACAAGTGAGAGATTGTTGGGAATGTCCTGAAATCATTTGTACTTTACTCTAGTTAAAGTTGTATTGTCGAGATTTGACAATCATTTAATATTAGGTGGTTATAATGTTTTGTTAGAAACCGCTTATAATCTATGGGTTGAGAACCTGTTACTAATATTATACGATCCTATAGGGTCACACACCTAAGTAAATTGGATCATTGATTAATAATGTCTTTTATGAATTGGACTAACATTTTGAGTTTTGGGAATTTTTTATGTATATAATAAATAAGAAATAATAATATATAAGAGATATATTATTGGATATATACACATCTGATAAAGGCTGATTTATGGTCTAATTAAGAATTAGACTAAAGCCCAACCCACCCACGTGAATGTGAATCCTAAAGTGTTAGGGGTTTTCATATGTGAGTATATATATATATATATATATATGTAGTTGTGGACAAGAGAAAAAAAAAACAAAAATTTATTAGCAGCCACAATCTACAAATGCAAGACATATGTTGCTTGTATGACAAGCAAATCCTTAAACTCAGAGATAAAAGATGAACAGTTCGTTGGATTTTGAGATTTGATCTCAACGGTACTAGCATCCCGTCTCGTCCAATTTGTGTGCGTATGGATACCGATAGAGGCACGACACTTGGAGTGCTAAGATAATCTTAAATCTGTCTGATTTTTCTCATTCCGCTACAGAATATCCAGGTATATTCAAACTCTAAGATCTAGATTTAATTCAGTATTTACATGAATCCTGGCAATCAAATTTGCAATTAATGTTTATAAATAGTTATAAACCGGTACGAATTCTTACATTACCTTCATCTGTTTCCTCTCTTGACTCTAAGTTTATTAATGAAATCTAATGTTCAAAAAAAAAAAACAAAAAAAATAGAAAAAATTGATCAAGTAACTGAACTAAATGAAAAAAATTACATATAGGACCAGTAAGTATTATACTAAAAAAAATTACACTACTTTTTTTTTTTTTACTTGAGGCAGTTGACTTCATCCCAGCCAACGGATCTCACCTTCTTCAAGATCATCGCAAGCTTCCAAAGAATCATCATTGTCGTTTTTTAAAAGCAGACCAAACTTTTTAACCCAACGAGTTCTTGCCATACGAGAGCCACCGCAGAGCTTCACGATTTCCTTCTCATCAGCCAAGTGATCTTCTTTCATCTTGGATCTCGCTTCTTCTTCCACCTTCTCTAGCTTACGTCGAGCTTCCAACCTCATTGCTCTTCTCTTCATCACAGCTTCGATTTTAGCTTTCTCTTTAAAACCTGCTTCTCTCTCTTTACTATCTTCATCATCGCATCAGCCTTTTTAGTGCTACTACTCTCTTCGATTTATTTCCTGCACTTAGCTTTGATGATGATATCAGCAATCGAATTTTTATTTTTGCCGAGCGAACCTCTTTCTCAGGGGATGAGGACAAGCACAACAAATCACGACCATAAATTGTTCCTGTTGCCATAAATTGGAGGCACGAAAACAAACGAGCTGCTACTACCCAACGATCAAACACAGTGATGAATGAAGCGTAAAACT